TAAACCTAGTAATGAATTCATCCCTTGAAGCTGGATCATATTCCTGAACATGATCAGCGTTCCATTAGAAAGGAGAAAGGGAGAAATAGATTTGGCATAAACAGGCAACAGAGATCATTACAGTCCCCAAAGTTGTATTGCTTCTTAATGGAAAAAAATGGTGAATGACCATGTGGTTTAGAGTCAACTCTTGACAGTGAATTGTGTGTGATGACCAGATTGAACAAAGTGTTTATTTACGGCAGAAGTTACAGAACTTTGAGGTTCAGTGGACACCTAAGGTCATTTTCCCAATGACTTTTTACTATCTAAGGGCTTAATCTTTTCCAAACTTCTTGACCCAGTCCTAATAGGATAACTTGCAGAACTGAGTAGCTGAATTTGTCACATGGAGTAGAATTTTAATTGCGCTGTATTTGCATCTGTTGAAAACATGGTAATTAGATATGTCTTAATTGCAGAATGTGCTGCCTGAAAGAGAAATAAGCAGCTTCATGTTATACCTTCTTTAAAAAGAGAAACTTTAGAATATCTGTCTTTACAGATAATCACATAGGAAAGCAGCTGATAGTTTAGTGCACAGAGTGGGTTGAAATAGGCAGAAATGTTAGTTAAAAATAGAAATTTCCGTTTGTGTGGAAGGAGGTAATCGTCTTTCTTTGGGCAGACTATCTGCAAAAAGAAAGCAAACAACATGTAAAGAGTAAAATTAAAGAGAAAAAATGTAAATTTATATAGCATTTAAAATAGTAAATTACCTAAATGTAGGTTTATGATTAGTTCTTTCATTGTAATTTACTCTATGAACACAATAGATCAAGTCATTTGTGCGTTATATGTCACCAGTGCTTTTCTTCCTTGAAAATTGTTTATCTGAATATCTTTTGTGTTTTCTTAAGGGAATAAAATATTTTATTTACCTTATACTGGTATAAGGTATAAGGTATACCTTATACCTTAAGCTGGTATTAATTATACAAAGATTGGTTTTAAAACTGAAAAATAATTTGATTAGTCTATCAATGACCTTGAATATATGCATTTTTTAAAAAATTAAGCTTGTGTAACCAATTTACATAAGCTTTTAAAAACCAAAGTAATTCTGCCTAGAAATGGGGTAAAGTGAGATTCTTATTTTTCTCGATCAAATAATTTTAGTGTTTGAAGCATATATAATGTAATACTCTAAAAGAACATCTTATGTTTATACATAGGAAGCCACATATTGCTAAATATTTTTAATTAGTTGGCATTCGAAAGGATTAGTTGCATCCATACACCCCCAGAAGAGTTTCTGTGATAGTGTATCATCTAAATCAGAATGTTCAGAACAAGCATAAAGAATTCTCAAATGCACAAGTATGATTGTGAAACAGTCCACTTGCTTTGAGCAGGAAGCTGAGCTAGGAGTTTTGATTTTACAAAATGAGGTTACAAAACCTGGAGTTAATAAATGATTTAATACTAATTTTCTCTGCTTCACCCACTTTTGAAGATAAGTTGTATTACATACACCAGGAAATTATTGGGAATATGAGAGGAATTGGCAACAAATGTGACTTCAGCATATAGTTAGTTATGAAGGCGCTGCCTTTTTTCTGTGTCAGAGCCAAGAGCAGACATATGCCCCGTGTGCTTCTGCCAAAACTATTAGGCAGAAAACTAGCAGAATCGCTCCTGATCTTCCATTCATGATTTATGATAATGGTCGCTGTGGAAGACGAAATCATTTATGTTTATTGAGCTCGTTTTTTGTTTATAGTTTCAGACATTGTAGAGGGTCATACAATCCATTAGACGGTATGTACAGCATTAACAATAATAGTATAAAGCCCTACCAGAAACTGATGAGAGCTTGACCAAGAACAACGACCTCCGTGTGGTTACTGTCACTGGGGTGTGGCTGGTGTTGTCAGGCTTAATTAGAGGAACATAGGCATCATTTTGAAGTCAGAGGATAGTGATATGTGGAGATTGGGTAAAAGTTTGTCTGCTTGGGATAAAGCCATGAGTCAAGTTTACCACTAATCTTCCTGTTAAACAGTCATTCATACGCAGCTTCTGTCTGTCCAATGGTCCTCATTTTAGAAGCTTAGAGAGTGGCAAACAGATCTGTGACTGTATCATATGAGAAGTACAATAATAAAAGTTTGTAGAAAGCACTTTGGACAGGTAGGTAAAATGAGTTTTGCCTGCAGGACTTGTAGAATATTGACTAGCATCCCTTTATCTAACTTAAGAATATATATCAATAGGTTTTGCAGCTCCTGAATACTTTTGAGAACTGTTTTCATCATGATTTGGTCCATTGCCTCCAAGTCGAGACCACACTCATTTCCCCCAAAGTGTGGAAGCAGTGGTTTGTGTTTTCAGACAAGAGGCTGCAACCCTGCTTAAGCTGTATTTTACATTCTCTTGGAGAGCACCCATTGGAAAGGCCACACAGTGAGACCTCCCTGGGCCAAGTCCATTGTTCTCTCCCGCTCTGCGTGTGCAGCACAACCACCACAGCCGTGACTCAGCATTTATTTGTCAGGCTGTGGATTTTCTCTAGCAACGCCCATCTCAAAGTTGGAACTGGCCTTCTCTAACAAACCCGCTCCATTCGTATTTCCATAGGAATGGACAGAGACAAAAATGATCAGCTTTTGAAAATGCTTGCTTGTCCCTTGGAGGAGGAGAGTGGCTCCCAGTTAGTTGCCCCAGTGCAGAGGGAGCCAGCCTTCCTGCTCATCTCTTTGGTTGGAAGCCCGTCCTTGAGTCCCTGTGTGTATTGGTTCGAACTCCGGGAGTGGTTTCATCAGGAGCAGCTACTAGTCACAGCGCTGGCTGACCACACAAGACTGGCAGTGGGTTTCTTGAGATCTGGTGCTGGCTGCTGGAAAGATCTTCTGGGCAGAGAGTGGAGTGACTGCATGATAGATGACCTGCATCCATGCTATATGAAGCATGGAACTGAGCAATCACAAACAGAGCTGATCAGAGAAACACATGAAGGTCTGGCTGAGGTACAGCTGTGCCAGAATACAGTGCAGAGAGCCCCACACTGGCCGTGTGCCGGCCCCAAACCTCTGTTTCCTTAGCAAGACATGGAAGACGTTGGTCTAAGTGACTTCCAAAGTGCCTTCTGGATTTAGACACAGTGGTAATTTTACCCTTCGACTGTAGCCTGGGATGGGATGGGAAATAGGTTGCCTTATGTTTTTAATCAAGTGTGAAAACAAAAGAATTCTACACTTTCTTTGTGTATTAGCTAAATAATTAGCATTAAAAATTCTTTTTAACTTGGCTAAGGTTGTACCATCATTTGTTAGTATCTTCTAAGATCTGTGAGAGTTTAATAGCGGAACACTAAGATACTAACATGTCATTTTTTTTCATTTGATTTTTATTTCACATTAGAACATAGTTGATTTGCAATGTTGTGCTAGTTTGCAGTGTACAGCAAAGATTCAATGATGTATATACATATATCCATACTTTTCAGATTTTTTTTCCCATGTAGGTTATTATAGAATATTGGGTAGAATTCCTTTTGCTATACAGTGCGTCCTTGTTGGTTATAGATTTTATGTATAATAGCATGTATATTTTACAAACTCCTAATTTATCCCTCCCCCACTCTTCCCCCTTTGTAATCCTAAATTTTGTTTTCCAAGACTGTGAGTGTTTCTGTCTTGTAAATAAGATGATACTGAGACTAGTTTTATTATACTCGTAATTTTGTGTCTTGCTAACTCAAGTTTTGGTGGAGAGGCAAGACTGAATTTCACGTGAAGGTATATTCACTTGATCTAGAGGTCGGTTCTTTATGAAAGATTTCTGTCTTATATGGTTCTGTGTTAAAAGAAGCTCAAAAACACTGATTCCTACTTTTTTTTTGTTGATGCAGGAGGGCAGAAATGACCTCAGATTTCAAGAGATACCCTGGAGCCCCAATAATTCTTAGACTATATTTGGAAAAACCTTAGGCAACTAATCTGGTAAAGGCTTTATGAGGATGGCTGTGCATGTGTGCATCTATTGCTTCCTAAAATAGAAATTCCTGAAGTTCTTTTGGAGGTGGAAACTTGCCATTCTTTCAAATGCAAAAAGTTGGGGGTACATCCTTGGACCATATGCTGACTTAAGTGTTGCTTCAAAGGATGGAATATTGTTATCACTAAGTATAGCTTTTATCTGCAAAGTTCAGAGGACTGTGAGGCTGTGGATTTATGCCTTCATGACTCCATCCACCTCTGTTCACCTGCCATTGTGTCAACCAAAACACAGCATTATTTCAGATTAGAACATATCGTAACATTGGCTTGTAAAGTTGGCCTCACAATGACAATGTAGTGACAATATAAGGAAAAAGTTAGAGAGGCTGTGAACATCCAGTCTTCTCTATGCAGAAATCACAAACGGACATATTTGGGAGGCTGAGGAAAGAAGTCCTGTGTTGACATTGGTGTGCTTAAGTGAGTAGTGCAACTGAACAAATTGTTGAGGGGCTGGGGTGGAGCTTCATCCCCCTCCCTTACCCAAGAGGAAAGGAAGCTGTTGGTGAGAGGCTGCGTGTTTTCATTTTGCAAATGTGGAACTGAGGACCTTTGGGGTCAGCTGTGTGATGAGGGCTTGCTTATCCCCACAGCAGTATAGGCTCCGTATCAACATGAGGGAATCCATCTGGTCTGGGACTCAGGTTACTATTACCATACTAACACTATACTATTACTAATAATACACTGCTGCTATTACTAATGCTATACTGTTACCATTGCTGTTACTGTAACTATTACTCTCTTACCGTTGGCCCATTATCTTCACGCAGGAGTACACACATGCGTGGTAGTCATCCACATCACATGTTCCATTCTAATTCTACTCAGGACAAACAACGTTTGCAAGCCTCATTGGAAATTTGGGAAAGAAACCGTCACACGACTTCAGCCTCCTTATTTTTGTGCCTTTGGTTCCCCATGTTCCTTATCTTTTTTGTGTGTTTGTTTCCTTCTAAGTGGAAGAAGACACGGAAGAAAGTTCGAGATCAGGAAGGGAATCTGTATCCACAGCCAGCGACCAGCCTTCCCACTCCCTGGAGAGACAGATGAATGGAAACCAAGACAGAGGCGAGAAGCCCGATCGGAGGAAAGAGAAAATGGGCAAGGAAAAGAAGAAAGACAGAGAGAAGGAGAAGGAGAAGATGAAAGCCAAGAAGGGGAGGCTGAGGGGCTTGGGAGACATGTTCAGGTAGGTGCTGCCGGCGGGGCTGGCCCGTCCCCACTGTGAGTGCCAGGCCGGCGCCGGGTTTGAGGGCTCTGTCTTTGAGATCTGCTGGGAGTCCTCTCTAACTCCCAGGTTTCACTGCTGTGTTTTTACTTAAGCATTTCACTGGAGCTATTTCAGACCCTTTTAAAGTGCCTGAAAGATGCTATCTTGCCAACCATGTAAATAACTGTTGAGAGGAAGGAGGGACAGAGACAAAGGGCCCTCACAGCCCCTGTTTATTCTTTTGTGTGTGTGAACAATGGTTCATTGTTGACACTGAACGTGGAGCTCAAGTTAGTGGTAGTGCATAAAGGCTCATTAATAACAAGTCTAAAAAAAATGTTACAAATAGAGCTTCAATTAAGCTGTGTTGATTAATTTAATACTTATTACTTCAGTCGGTAAAGATTTCATTAAATGCAGTCTCTGCCTGTTTCCTGACAGTTGTTTTTGTGCCCCTAAATTATACTCTAGGATTACTTAGCATATAATTTTTTTACAAATCATGGCTACACAATAAAAGTGACAAGTTGTTCAGAAGTTTCTCTGAAACTCTCCCATAAATGTTCATTGGAGGTGATTTATAATATTCAGGTATCTAATGTTAAATATAAAGATTGCTTGATTGTTCCATAAATTAAAACCCTAAACATATCAAGATGATGGTTTAAAATTGAAAACAGATGGTATCACCACTTAACTCTTCAAAAAGTAGTTATCCTGCATTATGAATCCCTTCCTTTTAGCTTTTTTTAATTGTAGAATGTGAACAAGAGCTTTTATTTTCATAGAATTTCCTGATTTATGGTCCTGACGTTGACCTCAATAACTCAGGGACTTATAGATAAGTCAAGACCATGAAGTTGAGGACTCAAGCCCAACCTGCAGGCTACACACACACCAGATGTGTCCTGTGGATGGACTCAGCCAGAGCTAAGTCAAGTGCATGGAGGAAGTAAACTATAGGCGTAGAGAACACGGAGCCTGGCCTATGAGCAGTATCAGCTTTAAATTAAATACGATCACATTTCCATATTCAGTGCTTCAGAACACTAGAATTGGCATCCTTTTATACGGGAGTTTTTCTTGTTGATATACCACTCCTCCTGAATGCATTTTCAGGTAGATCATCTTTCATCGTTATATTTTCATGTCCAGGAACACTGACGGGTAGAATTGCTCTAACTGCTACTTTATTTCCATTTTGGTGTTAGGCAGAAGGCTTCTCAGCTCATAATCAGGCATCTATATAACACACAGAAATTAGGCTGTTGCCCATCAATTAACATTGAGGGAATTTTCACCCCTGTCTTCTTTGAAATAAGAGGAAACCTCCCCTAAAATGTACACATCTGGCCTGGAGACCAGTCCTGCTTCTGTAACCTTCCTCCTGAGTCAAGTCTTCCTGAAGGCTTGTAGGTTTCCTTCATCAGCCAACCGTTATCTGATGGATTCAGTGCTCTGGTCTCCTCATGGAATACGAAATAAGCAAAATTCTAGTTTGTTTATAGATTATTTTAGAAATTTATACATTATTTTAATTAGATATTTTTTTCTGTAACGTGCAACTCTAGAATAAGAGAGGCTTTATGGTACAGTTTTCTTTTTGGGACCAGAGGAATGGTGAGTGTGGGGGCAATTGGCAAATTTATTTTCTTTCAAAGGGACCCTGAATGCAACCCTACGCAATTTTTTTGAGCTAAAAGTTCTATAAAACATATGATGTTTTCCCTAGATCAGATTCTGGGCTTCCTTGGTGGCTCAGTGGTGGAGAATCTGGCCTGCTAATGCAGGAGACCAGGTTCAATTCCTGCGTCAGGAAGATCCCCTGTAGAAAGAAATGGCAACCCACTCCAGTATTTTTGCCTGGGAAATCCCATGCACTGAGGAGCCTGGTGGACTATAGTCCACAGGGTTGCAAAGACTCGGACACGACTTAGCGACTGAGACACATACACTAGATGAAATGCTGTAGATTATACCTCTAATCTGTAGCGAAAGCCAGCTCTGTGACAATGGCGACTGATCTGTAACTTCAAAAGCCTGAGTGTCCTTGAAAATCACATTTTTTTGTTTAAGTGCAGGGGCTGAAGGTTTTTTCCTAAAAACTAAGTTCATAGCCTCCCAATGTTTAAGAATGGCTGCTGAGAAACGCATGGACATTCACCCTTTTCTGGGACAGGTATGCTGGAGTAAGCCCATGCTGACTTGTGAGAGTTGTTCAGTTTTTGGAAATTTTGCCAACTGACTGTTAAACCCAGCCATTATTAAAAATTAGATAGCTTCTATGACAAAGATAACGAATACTCAAAACTCGTCACTTCCTAATCCTTTTATTACATTTCACTGTGATCTCTGCTTTTGAGGTGATTTATGCCCACTGTATCGGCAGAGCACTGATGCTACATGCAGGTAGCTTCAAATTAGCTGTGTCGGGAGTACTTTTACCCCAGGAAGTGCACGAATTCCACAAAACAGAGTTGTTCTTTTTTCCTCTCAGGAGAGCCACACACCACCACATGGAGAAGGCAGATATATCCTAACAGGTTGCAGTATCTTGTCTAGTTCCCTGGAACGTGGCCCTCTTGCCTCTGGTTTCCTTTACGGAAATGGTTGAAGCTTGGCGAATACTCCTCCTTGAAAATGAGTTGAGGACCCTTTATTAGAGTAAAATACACTTTTTCTTTGGTTGTCTCTTGGCACTCCTTCATACCCTTATGATATGTTCTTAGCATTTGAGAAGACTCATAAAGCATTGTTAGATTTTTCAAAACATTTTTTACACTACCTCCGTACCTACTGAATCTAATTATTTGAGACCAAATAGACTTTTGGGTTGATTCTTTTATGTTTCCTTTTTTTTTTTTTTGTAACAACAGAAGGGAAGATAGTAAGATTTAAAATGAATCTCTTCCTTCCTTTTTGTTCTTTAGAGGAAAACCAGATGAGATTCCCTTAGTGCTGTTGCTTTAAAATACCTTAATCAAAAAGTGTATGTGCATTTAATTTCTTAGAACACTGTAAGGAGATGTGGGAGGGGGTGTGTGTGTGGTGGGGGATGTTATGATTTGTTTCATAAGCAAAGAGTAAGCAAAGCAAAGAGTAAGGGTAAGGGTAAAAGCATATCTGGCTTTTTAGGCAGGTGAACTTTTTAGTCTCTTGAGGGAATAATGATATGCTTTCCTTCAAATTAGGATCACAGGCTCTGCTCCCCACTATCCCCCTGCCCTGCTCCCAAAACACACACAATCTCTCCCTTCCCCTGTAAGTTGTCTGTGAGTTTTGGTTACATTCGATGAGGGCCAAATAGATATACCATATTTTTTAAAAATTTTATTATTGGAGTATGATTGCTTTACAGTGTTGTGTTTCCACTGTACAACTGAATCAGCTCTCTGTATCCATGTATCTCCCCCCCGCCCCCCCTTGAGCTTCCCTCCCATCCTGCCCCTCTCAGTCAGCACAGAGCGCGGAGCCTCGTGCGATGCAGCGGCTTCCCACTAGCTCTCTGTTTTACACATGGTAATATATATATATATATATATATATATTTTTAAAACTGTACTGCAGGAATCCATGGCACCTTAAATAGGTATTTTTATTCGTTGGTCTATACAGATGACGTGGTTTTCTACTTTGAGTATTGAATAGTAGTCATAAAAATGGCTTAATTACTGATAAACAGCTCTAGGAAAGAATATTGGGAGTCATATTTATATGTCTGCTTATAAATTATGGAATATATGAAATGCAAAAGCTGCCTTACTGCAAGTTTGAAGTCACAAATGTAAATCTGTAAGGAATCAATGACAAATGCAACGTGTTCCTTGCTTGAATGACTTCTTGGAGGACACCTTCTCTTACCCCTGATGCACTCCCACAGCCTTAATTAAAATGGCTTTGGATCTGAGAAACCTGAGTTTCTCTACGAAACAGATCAGTGTGCCTTTGTTGATGTGATCATTCTTTGTGAAAGTGCAGGGCAGAGGGAGGGTCTGATTTAGAGCCCTCGTTCTTTTTCGAATATCATGGAATTGTCTGCCCTCTGATATATCACAGATTCCTTTGGATATGTCTGGTTCTCGAATGCTTGGCTATTCAAATTTAATACCATAAAATGTTTACTAGAATTCTGCAATTGTCTGAAATTGCCGCCAAAGAGGGAGCTTAGTCTATTCTTTAGAAGGAGAGAGATCTGCTGTTTAATGTTTTAAATGTGTCTGCTTTTCGAAGAAAGCAACAGCATCATTAAGCAATGTGTTTTTTGGTGAGTTTCCATCTCCAGAATGAAATAATCAAAAAGATAATAAACTTCCTTATTTGGGACTGTATAATCAGCACTTAAAATTATGTATTTCCCCCTTTTTCACCCTGGAATAAGTGTAATTTGATGCTACTCTGCCTGAAAAATTAGAATCATTCTCAATGTCCTAGAATTGTCTGCCGTCTGAAATTGAAGCTTCCTGGACGTGACCGCGCTCACGCCGTATAGGGGTGCTTCGTTTGCTGCTGTGACACATGACGGCTGAGGGCCTGTCGCCCCCTGCACCATGAAAGCAAAAGCCATGGTGCTTTGTCACCGTTAAAATTGAATCCTCCAGTTACACTGACAGTGATTCCCTGGGTCCCTCCAGCATGGTTTCATCCTGTTCTGTGCGAGGTAAAGGATAATTTCATTTGAAACCTTGTTTGGTTGAAATCAGATATATGGCTGTCGTTCCCTTTTCAGTATGTAATTGTCTTCAGAACACAATGAACACGATCAGATCTTAAAACTCGATGTTGTAGTTTGGATCACACGTTGTAGGCTTTTGAGAGAATAGCAAACACGCGTCGTGGTTGTCTCTCTTACCTGTGCTCACTAACCGTGTGTCTGTACCGTGTTTCTCGTTTAGCCTGGCCAAACTGAAGCCTGAGAAGAGATGAGCAACAAGCCAGAGTCCAAATGTCTTGAGAAGCACATATTGCACAGTTGTTTTTGT